CCACCGACACGTTTCATCAAGTCGTAAGCTTCACAAATCAATTGCATGTCACCGTATTCAATACCGTTGTGGACCATCTTGACGTAGTGACCTGCACCAGCTGGGCCGACCCAATCACAACATGGTTCACCGTCAGCCTTGGCTGAGATAGATTGGAAGATTTCCTTAATTTCTGGCCAAGCGGCTTCAGAACCACCTGGCATCAAAGATGGACCGTATCTAGCACCTTCTTCACCACCAGAGACACCGGAACCGACGAATAGAATACCCTTCTTGGTCAAGTAGTCGTAACGTCTGTTAGAGTCTGGGTAGTGGGAGTTACCACCATCGATGATGATATCACCCTTTTCCAAGTGAGGCAACAATTCGTCGATCAAGTCGTCGACTGGTTGACCAGCCTTGACCAACATCATGATCTTTCTTGGTCTCTTAATCTTGGAGACGAAGTCTTGGATGGAGGTAGCACCGATGATGGACTTACCCTTAGCTTCGTTGGCCAAGAAGTGGTCGACCTTGGCAACGGTTCTGTTGAAAGCACAGACGGTGTAACCGTGGTCGGCGACGTTTAGGATAAGGTTTTGACCCATGACAGCCAAACCAATTAAACCGAAATCAGCAGACATGATGATATTTGTGTGTGTGTGTTGAGAGTATTTTAAAAGTGTGTTGTAAGTGTTCAATAGAACCTTTGACGATGTTCTTTTTATAGACAAGTTTAGTAATAAGAGAGAATAATAAAAGGAGAGAGATAGAAGAATGGTTAATGAGAATTGAAACTAGAATTGAGAAAAAAAGCAAGTGTTTATATATTGAAGAAAAAGTGAAAATGAAAAATTGTTGGAATGTACAATTGATGTTAATTTGTAGAATCAATCCCAAAAATAAAATGGAATGAAATTAAAAAAAAAAAATCAATGGGAAAAGGACAAGACCAATTCAATTGATACAAGTTTCCTTTTACCTTTCTTTCTTTGTTTGGATAGTCTTGGGATTGCATTGGGATCAAACCGTTACACCGTTAATAGTGGAATAAGGGCTGAACCATTGAAATGTCAAGGTATAATTACAGTAAATTAAATTAAATTAAATTAAATTAAAATTACATTACATGGATTGAAATGAAATGAAGTTGGCTAATTTGTCAGCGCTGTAAAGGTGCATAACGAACATAACTAACTGGTGGTATAATTAATTTTTTTCCTAATTTTACGTTACGTTACGTTACGTTACCTTATGTTATGTTACGTTTAGTTCTCGGTTTCTTGTAATGAGTTGTTTGAGAATGGGAGAGGTGAGAGCGAGTGTCTGCATGGTGTGGGAAATAGAAGGGGGTGGGAGAGGGAAGGGAAGGGAGTAAGGGAGAGACGGGCTAGACAAGGGATATATTTTAAAATATGATTATGTGTGTATGTACGTATTAGTTATTGGCATTGGTGTTAGCATTGGTGTTAGCGTTAGTATATTGTTTAGTGGTAATAGGTAATTTCGAATACAATCAAAAGAGAAGGGCGAGCCTGAGAGGGATTGGATTGAATTGAAGTGGTAGAGAAAAGTAGAAGTTCGAAGTTCGATGGTAATCGACAGGAGGCGACGTTAACGGCGGGCGGGAAAGATGGTTTTTTCAATGTTTTTTTTCTTTTTTCTGTTTATTCCTGCAGTGGTGACTTCTTGTTTTTGTGTTTTATTTCCTTTCCTTTCCTTTCCTTTCCTTTCCTTTCCTTTCGAAACGAGTTTGTGTTACGGGATTCGGTCGGGCACGGTGGGAAAAAGACCAAAATAACAGTTTTTGTGTTTTTGTGTTCGAGAAGGTAAAACAAAGAAACGAGGTGTCTGTTTGTCTTGCGCTGCGCTGCGCTGCGTTGCGTTGCGCGCGAGCTGACTGGAGTCAATTGCTCGAGGACGACGCAACGGAGAGATCCGGCAGCGACGGGGGCGCCAGAGATAGGGAGGTTTTTGTGTTTTTGTGTTATTGTGTTATTGTGTTATTGTGTTTGTTTTTATCTCCCCGAATAGGGGGCAGATACACACAGGTGGGTCTGAGCTGAGATTAAGTCTAGTCAAGTCACAAGGTATCAAGACGTGCCCAAGGACCAAAGACCTAGGGCGCGTGCGAGGGTTCGGTGCTTGCAACCCCTTTTTTTCTGGTTTTCTTGTATGTATCCATGCGAGAGGCCAAACCCTGGGTATATGTCGCATGCGACTGTGCCCTCTAGAGGACGGGCTGGTGTGTGGTTGTTGTTTAGGGCTTGTCGTTGTGGTATACAAACAATCCCCTTTTTAACACCTAAAGTCTGTATGCGGTGGTTTCCCTCTGCTCTTCCGTTTAAAAGGGGTGGTCTTTGTGTTTTGGCAAGCTCTCCCACTCCCACTCACATTGTCTCGATTTGGTCGGGACAACTGGACCGTTACCCGGTCGCGTGGGATTAAGCATGCCACTAAGCTGTGTACTCTCGCCATATACGGTGCATGCCATGTTCCTCTACTTCTGCCCTCCCCCCCCCACCACTCACAATCTGATACAATTATCACATTCGATTAGATTCGATCCAATTCGATTCAATTCAACTCAATTCAACTCAATTCAAGAGGATCGGATCAGATCAGAATCATACAATCTCACTCACTCACAACTACTATATCTTCCCCTACCGGATACCTTTATTTCATCCTCTAACCAACCAATTCTATATTTAATAATAACGCTATTTTTAGTCTAATCTATAAGATCCTACAAAATCTAATACCAGACACCTAGTTAGAACCTATATCCCCCCCTACTCTTCCTTCTCCCCCGGAACTATCCAAGGGGGTAAAGGGGCGGTTATGTCTTGAACCATCCATTCTTTCCTCTCAAAACAGGGGGATTCTCTAATCTCACATACGTATTGCTCTCCATCCTCTTATCCTCTCCCATATGCATGCTACTCACTACAGAAAATGAAAAAAAATTAAATATAACAATATAACTTCGTCACAATGATATCAAATTATACTATGTACGCCCGATCGGTACCATTCTCATAGACCCACCTTCTATCCATATCTACATCTACATCTACATCTACATCTACATCTACATCTATATCTAAATTCATACTGCTAATCCAGTCTTTTTACGTCCTTGGTAGCCAAACAGCTGCACAATTGAATGGATGTACTCTCTGACACCATTTATTACAACTCGTACCAGTCCAACGGCTTTCTTGCGTAACTTGGGGGTCTCATCATCACTTTTCTTGCTATATATCTGTTCTTCATTGGCACTTGGTAATACAAAATCTCCTGCTGATAACGATACAAATAATGCAAATGGGATGAACCAGATACAGATACCAAAAAATGATGATACTTGGGCAAACGTTGCACGTTTGCGTGGGATGTATGAAGGGTCATATTTAAATTGTGGTGGTATTTCAACATTGTTGAAATGTTGAAACCAAAAATAATGATTGACAACAACACACACACAACTTAGGATGAACATTGGGTTCCCTAACGAGATGAATGGGAATGTCTTGAGATTTCTCTGATAAATCAAATGTGAAACTATCGATATTATAGTCAATTTGATAGGAAATGAATCGAATATCATTAATAGTACCAATATAAAAATAATACCGTAGATTGCTCTATTAAGAAATCTACGTGTAGGTTCACAATGCTCTTCTACTAATTCACTCAAATAATATAATCCTGAGGCTATAGATAGTGTTAAAAACAGAAACCCCAATGCTGTCCCAGCATATGATAGTAATTGAATAATCATTTTTTTGCTCCCAGTGTAGTGTTATGCTTCTCAATACCAAAATGAAATATGCTAAAATAGACTAAAATAAACTAAACAAGTACTAGTTCTTGCCGGTCAATTGTACACACACCTATCCTCTTCAACAATCTCAACAACTTTGTATAGTTGACATCTCTGTTAGTTAATCGTCCCTCTTTATATACTTTTCACTTGTCCATTTCAATTTTCAATCCTCGTTCACCATATACGAAACTAGCCAGCCTTAAATTAACTATTAGCAAGTATTTGGCTAAAGCCGCAGTGTTTTAAGGTGTTATTAGGTTGCGATAAGGACAATTGAGACTAGTTGACACAAGCTTGCAACTTTGGTCGGAATAAGTCTTAAGATTGTAGTGTCTCATATATACATATATATATATCGACTTTTATTTGGGCACATTGATTTCCCAATTTTAAAAAAAAATTTGGACAAAATATTAAATGCCACCTGCCAGAATTGAACTAGCGACCTTTGCATTACAAGTGCAACGCTCTACCACTAAGCTAAGGAGGCCCTTAATTGCAACTCAAAAATAGCTAAATTTAAATGATAACAATATTTCTTAGAAAATATTTTTTTTCTTTTCATTATACGCGATTTCTCTTGGAAGTGTGTTACGTTTGATATGATAATTGTTTTATGATATAAACGGAGAAACGATAGGTGTCGCACTCAAGACAACCTGACTTACCTGGTGTCAGAATGGTATAAGCTGTAAGCTTCAATGTAAGTAGATATACGTTAATGTAGAGAATCATGTTGTGGTTTTTCTACCGAATCGTTCATAGTAATAGATTCTTTATTTATTTCCAAGGACATTCTTAATAAGTTGATATTGATCCGGTGTATTAAAGTATATAATATACACATGGGAATATAATTAACATGACAAGTGTCAATTAAGATCTTGTCATTTCTTATATAAAGTGTTGGAAAAGTTTTAACGTCAGAAATAACACTTTCGTGTAAAGTAACATTTCTTTATCCTATATGAATAATGTCGTAATACGTATATATCACGTGTTACCTCATAATTCTGACAATGATACCAAGAATACTTAAAAAATTTATGACGACAGTCCCTGCTAATTAAATCTTCTAGGACATCAATTTCAGTTTATTTATTGCTAAGTTGAATTTTTGTGGAAAATCCACATATTGTGTTCAATTGCTATGGATATTTTTCCTAAAATTATAATTCGGAGCTCGTATGGCGCAGTGGTAGCGCAGCAGATTGCAAATCTGTTGGTCCTTAGTTCGATCCTGAGTGCGAGCTTTAATTTTTTCCATCCTTTTTTGTTTTCGATCCCCCATTTCAAATGTGAAACGACCAAGTGAGTCTCTTATGATCATCTTGCAACGTTTCTGGTAAAATTCTTTTCGCAATTTATCTTTTGGGTTCAAGTACTATTTCGAATAGACTATACTACCTACCAATTGACAGCATTTCAAGAGTGTTGGTATCGTTCATCATTGGGATCTCTTTCTGAGTAACAGCCGTACAGACAGAAGACAAGATAAATATTTCATTAGTTTACGCGACTGATTCACATGGCGCTAACACATTATGTTATATTGTACGTACATTTGTTAGAATCGACAATGGTTTTCGAGACGCGTCACGTCAAGTTTACGCGTCTTTTTTATTTTTTTAATTTTTTATTTTTTTTTTGGCTGATGATTTGTTTGTTGTACAAAATACAATCAGATACAAATGAATGATATAATAATACAATGCCATTTAGAAGTTAGATCTATTTAATATAAGTAATTGGTGGATACGATATTTAAAACTACAATTTCTGGAGTTTATAGACTGTTTTATATTTGGACCTATTCTTTGCTTTTATATCTTTTTGTCTAGTCAAGGTAGTGAACACTTACTTATATTGTTTTGTGCTATAACTTCTCGAAATTCAATATTAAAAAAGAAAAACAGCACGTCTGACAACTTTATATAAACCATACATTTGTGAATAGTTAAGTAAGGATTCAATTAGCACTATCCATTATTTTGTAATATTTATTTGGATATTTGGAAATTTTCAGTTTCATTTCTACTTATTCTTTTTACATTTTATTACATTTTTTAATAAAATCAGGTGGTTCTGTTTAATTGGTTTACTCCCTAATTAATTGAGTACTGTCAGTTGAATAACATTAACAATTTGGAGGTAATGTCAGAGTATAGTTCTAATACTGTTGAGTATAACAGTGAAAATAGTACGAATAAGGACGTGATTTCTAGGAAAAAGAGTCTGTCACGTTCAAATACAAATGTTACATCGGGTCCAGAGAAACCACATTTAACTCCTCTTGGTACTAAGAGGAGAGCATTATCAGAAGTTGCTGTAAATAATTCAGAAATTAAATCATCAACTGCAAAGGAAAGACCTACACTGCTGACTCGTGTTCCTAGAGTACGAAGAGATACAAGTGATTTAACTTATTTAAACTTAAAAAAGAGACGTATTTATAAA